GGCCACCACTGAGAAGAGCTTGGCCCTTTCCTCCCTACATTCCCCCTTCATGAACTTACCCATGTTAATCAGCTCCCCTCTCAGCCTCCTCTTCTCCAGGCTCAGCAGGCCCCGCTCGCTCGGGCTCTCCTCACACGAGAGCTGCTCCAGGCCCTTCCTCAGCCCTGGTGCTCTGCGCTGGCCCCTCTCCAGCAGCTCCACGGCCCCCTTGTCCTGGGGAGCCCAGAGCTGCCCCCAACGCTCCAGCTTTGGCCTCCGCAGAGCTGAGCAGAGGGGCAGGATCCCCTCCCTGCCCTGCTGCCAACGGCCTCCGGATGCAGCCAGGAGCCCACTGGYCTCCTTGGCCACCAGGCCCTGCTGCCCCAYGGGTGACTTGGTGTCCCCAGGGCTCCCATTCCCTCTCCATGGAGCTGCTCTCCAGCAGGTCACCCCTGCTCTGTGCTGGTGCCTGGGGTTATTCCTGYCCAGGTGCAGGACCCTGCACTTTTCTTGCTGGCTGCACAACCAGGAGCTCCCCAAGCTTAGCGTGGTGCAGGTAAGGAAATGGTTGTGTCGAATAAAGAAGTGCCATCCAGTTGGCCAACACATGCGCSCTGCAAGCCCTTGGCTTGGTTCCTGGGAGGTCGCCGTGTACGTCCCTCAGTAAATCTCCCCTGCTTAAGGTCTCGGGATCCTCCAGCATCTCTCCCTGCTGCTGTTGGCCTCTCCCTTTCCTGCCTGGCAGCCAGACCAGCTCATTGTTTTTACAGTGTTTCCTTGGAGCGAGCTTAACTTCCTTAAACCGTAAGGCCGTCTCGCTTTGCAGAGGTGTTAGCGCCAGCAGCGACCCTTGCACTGCCCGTCTGCTGCGTGCATCCTGCAGCCCCATTGGGACGGGGACGCTGAGGAAGCAGCGTCTTCACCCGCACCAGCACCCGCAGCGGGAGCTTGGCACCCAGCGGGCACACTGGCAGCATGCACAGAATCCCAGGATCCCAGGRTGGCTGAGGTTGGCAGGGACCCCAGGGCTCCCCCAGTGCAGCCCCTGCTCCCGCAGGGACCCCCAGAGCACGGGGCACCCGGGTGGGTTTTGAGATCTCGGTGTCTGTCGCCCTCGCAGGGCCCTGCATGCTCCGACTCAAGGCAAAACTGGGCAGCAGGTTTGCGAACTGCMGGAACAGGAAAGGGAAAAACAAAGAGCTGCAGGTCCCAGACTCTGACCACGTCTGCCTGTGTCCGCTCCATCCCTTCAGCACCTTGCCTTGCTCTAATTGCATTAATTGGTATCAAGCTAACACCCACCTCATGAAGCCCTGTCCAACACTGAGGCCAGACAACGAGGAACTTGCTCCCGTGCAAAAGGAGAGAGCTGCAAAGGCGAGCCAGTGAGCGAGGGATGGCTTCACGCTGGGACGCACAGCGCCCTCCAGATCCCGTGCTTGCCTCGAAAGGGAATTAGCCCTGGAGAGATGGAGAGGTGGGATGCACCTGCTGGAGAGCAGCTCCACGGAGAGGGAATGGGAGTCCTGGGGACACCAAGTCACCCGTGGGGCAGCAGAGCCCTGGTGGCCAAGGAGGCCAGTGGGCTCCTGGCTGCATCCGGAGGCCGTTGGCAGCAGGGCAGGGAGGGGATCCTGCCCCTCTGCTCAGCTCTGCGGAGGCCAAAGCTGGAGCGTTGGGGGCAGCTCTGGGCTCCCCAGGACAAGGGGGCCGTGGAGCTGCTGGAGAGGGGCCAGCGCAGAGCACCAGGGCTGAGGAAGGGGAAAGAGAGCAGGAGACGAGCCCAGGCTGAAGGACAAACACGTGCATGCAACCAATAGCTGCTCTCCATCCCAATTCCACACCTGGGATAATGCACCTATTTCCAGTCACCCGAGACTATAGCGACRTATATCGAGCAGCCGAGACGCAGAGCAGACACGCTGGGATGTTGACACCGGCTCCTTTCACATTTCCACGGGGTTTTGTTGCCGGGATTTGTCCATAGGTTTTCTCAAGCTCCGCTGCTGCCGGAGCAGAACACACTTTCTCCAAGGTGCGATCACATCCTGGGAAACCCGAGGAGGAAGGAACCATTGGGATAATAATCCCTCCCCTCCMGGGTCTGGAAAAAAAATGCAAGCGKGGGTCTTTCAAAACCAGAAATCTTCCCTCCAAAGGTTGTTCAGAGCATGAAGAAGTGGTGGGACTGGCTTCCATGAACGTGTGGAATGTCTCTGTCRCAGACAAGCGCTGGAGAAGCACCATTAACCGGGATGAGAAACGTGGCAGCCCTCGGCACGTATCCAGCCTCTCTGCCAGGCCTGCAAAACTGCCTGTTCCTGGGTGGCTTTTGGAGGTGCCTGAGGCTGCCGAGGCCCCAGGGCCACCCCACGGTGTCCCCTTCCCTCCGGGGGCATTTGCCAGCTCCGTGGGCAGCTCAGTTCCCAGCGAAGGGAGAGGCTGGTGACACCAGGAGCCTTGGAGCAGGACAGCGCGGAGCAGAGCGGGCGCCTGCGCTCGGGAACGAAACCCGGCAMGGTTTGGAGCTTTGGGGGCAGCTTCCTGCCAAACCAGCTCGGCTGGGGCGAGGACGGGCGGCTTTCCAAGCCTCCCGTGTCTCCCTGCGACRCGGCCGCCCCGATTCGGGCAGATCCAGCGGCTCCCGACAGTCCCTCGTGCAAAGCCGTTTCCTCGGGACAACAGGGAAGGGAGGATTTGGGGGGATGATTTGCTAATGGGTGTGTCGRCTCCATCCTGTCCATGGGTCAGCGCTGCCCCCCGGGATGGTGGGGCACCGTGGAGGACATTGTGGCACAGATTTTCTTAAAATTCKTCTTAAAATTATCCATTCAATCCATTCCTAAGAAAAGGGAAGCAGCGGGACAGCATGAGCTGGACCTCCTGGTCCCACTGGGATGCTCAGACCTGCCCAGCTGGCTTGGACAAGCCGCGCTCTTCCCAACTCCCTCCTTGCCGAGACACCAGACCCGGGGTACGGTCACCAGGCATGAATTCCATTCACCAAGAAAGGAGAAATCCCAGAAATTCAGTCATCCTCTAAAAGCCCTGGATATGGGTGGAAACCGGGTTAAGTTCTCGCTACTAAAAAACACGTTGTGATTTCATCAGTAACCCACGAAGCTGAAGTCACTTGGGGATGGGAAAAGAGAAACCTCAGTAAAAGCTGCGGCTCAGCTGGATCAACCTGGAATTGGGAGCTTTTCTCTACCCATGGAGCAGGGTTTAGCTGCAAAACCGAGTGCTGGTAGTTCTGCCTCTTTAAAACCCGCGTTTAAAGCCAAGGCTCTGCTTCGGGAGCATCGCCAAGGGGCTGCAAAGGCTGAGTGTGGCCAGACCTCTGCAATCCTAAAAACCGTGGTGCTTTCTGATTCCTGGCACAGGGAACGCGGCTCCGGGCTCGCTGTGCTGGACACGCTCCGCCTCTAAAGGCTCTTTGCGCTGCGGTTACTTTTTAAACTATATTTTCACTGTATTTTTAACTACATTTAACTATATATAGTTTTCTTCTGAAAAGCAAGCGTTCCTCGAGGGGAAGCGGCACAAATGAAGGCAGTAAATAACCCCTGGGCACCGCGCCAGGCTGCTGCAGCCGCTCCCCGCGCCGGGACGCGGCCGCCGGCACCGAGCGGCGCCCGCTCCCGTGGGAGCATCCGGCTCACGAGCCCGGGGCTGGGGGACCCCACGAAAGCACTTTTGGGGTGCAGCCAAGGAGGGATACAAAGCTGAGGGTCACAGACCCCATTGGGGAGATCTCACCCCCATGGTCCCCTTCCAGGGGAGCCCCGAAGACCCTCAGCGGGCCCTGGAGCCCCCAAAGGGCCCTTCTCCCTGACCCCCATGCCCATACCTGAAGGCGCAGGGTGGGAGCAGCTCTGCTCGCTGGGTCCTGCTGCCACCTCCAGCGCAGGTYGGGCTGCACCCCCTCAAACGGGGCCCCTGGGGCTGACTTTTGAGGGAAATAATCGGGAATGTTCAGCATGAAGTCTGTCAGCACCGGGATTCTGAGTTACACTGTGCGATTCTGCGCCTGCTCCCTGTTACACACAGGAAGGTGCTGCTAGGGGGGTGTAAAAAGGCAGGAATTACCAAAAACCACCACTCCAAAGCACATGGGATCTTGGTGATTTATTTAGGCTCAAGAGCAATTCTGGGCAGTCTTCAGCTAGTCCCACTTTTGAGAGATGGGAAAGCAGAGATGGGGCAGCAGCTCGGTGGGCACAGAAAAAGCCCGTACATTGCAGGCAGGGAAAAAAGTGGGGAAAAAAAAGGTCAAACTTTACTCTTTTCTGGTTTATTGTAGCTGCATTGCGGCTAACATCAGCGATACTCGTCTCATGGGCAGCAGCTTGCTATTTCCAGTGCTGTCTTCCACCCTGCAGCACGGTTCCTCTTTACAAACCAGGCCAGCCAATTCAGTTTGAACCTGCTCCTAAAAACAAACGTTACTCTCYGCAAGGGCATGTGAGCTCACGCCTTAGCCTGTCGACATTCACCGCTTTACAGGATTCTCCTAACTCCAAAGGTAAGTCTTTGTACAGTTTTTGGAATCAATTTTTCCTCCATGTCCCTCTCCCCCCTACACAAACACACAAAATTTTACTTACAGAAGATTTACAGTAGAAATCTTTTTTGTTACGAGAATCCCAGACTAATATGTATGCATTAATTGGTTGAAAATCATTAGCAGAGCAGCTAGGAGATATTTACAAAGGCCACCAAAAATCCTCGGAAGGATTGTACGTGTTATCATTAGTGCATTGAAATGACATTGCCAGGCACAGGACGTGTGAATCTCTTATCTATTCAGCAGTGTCTTGTCCTTTACTGAGGGTAAAGCTCCACGATCATCGCGTGCCCCTGCAAGGCAGAGAGAGAGAAGGGTCAGGGAAAGGACCGATTGCTCCGTGCACGTGGATGAGAGGAGCGAAGTGGCAATTCCAGCCCCTCTCCGGAGTGGGCAGAGCTGCTGGCACGGTTACCTGCCCTCCTGCAGCACAGGCGGCCACCAGGCAGTACTGGCCGCCCTCCTTCTTCAGTCTATGAGCACCCGTGATCACCAGGCGGCAGCCGGTGGCAGCGAAGGGATGTCCCAGGGACAGGGAGCCACCCCAGCTGTTGAACTTGTCCAGAGATGGGGCTCCGACCTGGAATAAGAAGGGGACACAGGTGTCACCGGCCTAGAAGGGGCTGCGTGGCCTTGCAAGGCACCTCCCAGGCCAGCCTGGACCTCTGCAAAGGGCTCCCGTGTTGGAAGCAGCCAGGGGCAGCACAGGACGTGCCAAGGGCTTCAGTGCTCACCTGCAGGCAGGTCCCCGAGCTGCTAGAGAGCAGGCAGAAGGACAGGGATTCTCCCATCACTTTGGATTCTCTCCCTCCCAACTATTACTACCACGGCGCTAAATTCCATCTCCTGCTGTCAAGGGGAATGCCACCRTTCCCCAGGAAACTGCTCATGTTGGGATTTGTTAGCCCAAAGGTGGAGAGGCCTCTCAGTGAGCAGCAGGGAAGCTGCCTTGCAGCCTGGCACACGCTTCTGCCACGCGGAACGGGAACGCTATGAAATATAAAAGCTTGCTCGTTTGGGGCCTCACCTTCGACTTCTTGCCTATGTAGTTTTGTGCAAACCAGTCTGAATCCATGGCTTTCATGTTGGCCAGAATTTGTCCCTAGAAGGGAAAAAAAAGGCAACTTGAACAGGGTAAGAGCAGACCTAAAGGAAAACCAACAGGCAGCATTAGCAGTCCAGTGCTAAGAGACATGATGAGATTAGCTATAGCCAGAAAACCAAATACATCCAACTGCAGAAAAGGATTTTACGGGATCATCCCAATATTGGCTCTATTTCTACAGCTATTTCTATTCTATTTCTATTGCAAATTTCTAGTTTGAGAAATACCCCATGCAATTAGCATGCCATCTCACCATACTAACACATATCCCCAAACCAACGAGCAGATAACTCAGAGAAGTGACCCTGTTTTTTAATTCCCATACCARGGTCTTGGTGAAGCAAGACTTTTCAAGCTCTTTTAGAAGAATCTGCACTCACCCGGTGACTGCCAGCAACATAAATCATCTTCAGCACAGATAACGTTCATGTACAAAATGCCAGTTATATATTTAAAATACATTAATGTGCAAGTATTGCATACAATTTTTGCTGCATACCAATACTATTTGTAGAATACAACTCTACATTCGTGCCTCCATGCAGTTCTCCATTTAGTGAAGGTGTCAGTAAGAGAGAAGTCTGCAGAGTGGGATTTTACAGCTAGAGATGCCCTCAGCATTCCGAGTTACTTACAGCGAAGGCTTCGTGGAATTCAAACACATCAATATCAGCCATGGTGAGACCAGTCCTTTCCAGCAGTTTGGACGTCGCGTACGTTGGGCTGAATGAGTTAAGAACCAGAGGTCAAACATGATCTTTTTTGCTCACAATCCTGTCCCCTTCTCCACAGGGAGCCACGTTACACAGCTCAGTTCTCAGCCTGCTCCCCTCCGACTGAAACACAACCCCAGGGAAGTACTAGGGGAGCGACACGCTGAGATGCCCCTCAGCAAACAAAGGTGACTATTCCTGCTCTCTCCTTCAGCCACCTCCCCAGGCCAGGTCACGTCTCACATCCCAAGGCGGCCGGAAGAGATGCAGGGTTTTSATCGGTGATTTCACAAAAAGCCAACATCAGACTCTTGTGCTAGCAGTGTATTCTGCTAGGGGATGCTCTTCATTATTGTCACCTACCCGAGCAGCAGCTGGTCCTTGGGATCCTGGGACACATACACAAAGTCCCTGCRCAGGAGAAACACTATTAGTAACAGAAAGAGGAGAGGAAGCAAGAGCAGGTTTTGGAGGCCACGCAGAGCGCTCCTTTTACCTGAGGTAGGCCTTTGGCTTGAATCCCATGGCCAGAGCCTTCTCCTCGGACATGAGCAGGATGGCCGAGGCACCGTCTGTCTGCAAAGGGACCACAAACAGCCCAGTGAGCAATCCCACCATGCACAAACGAGCCCAACGTCCCTGCTGCAGGGGAGCTGGTGAAACAGGGTGCCATCACACGCAGTCTCCAGGCTCTGCCCCAGCAGCAAGTCTGCTCTTGCTTCCTTACCAAAAACTGCTTGGCAAAGAGCTATAAACAGGCACAAAAGGACAATTTCRTGAGGAATTATTTATCTCCTAGGACGTGCAGATGCATTATGGTATGGGCCCAAAATAAGGCTCCAGGACTAAGAAGGTGGRTCTGCAAATAACAGTAAATGCACTGCTGAAACACCTCACTATAGTCCAAATACCCAAATTCTCCCCAATTTCAAACAGGACAGAGGTGTCAACTGCCCTGTCAGCGCTGCAGACATGCTGGTTTTCCCAAACATTCACCTGCTCATTCAGCTCCATTCCAAAACTGGAATATAATTCCCAGATGACACGAGTCACAGGGTCAGCACGTGGCAAAAATGAACCTGATATCCCTGGCTCTTGGTCACTTAGCCCTGGGCTAACATCCCAACGCTGACCTGCAGATCTGCTGTGCTGCACAGCAACAGCGACTCCACAGCTCCTAACACCACCGAGGCCATTACCGAGCACTACCAGGCTTTCTAAAGCCTCCAGGAAGCCTAAAGAATAAGTGTAATTGTTGCTGAAGGAGCCCCAGTATCAGCCATTAGTCACTTGCTTCCTTTGGAGTAGTTATCACAGAGCGGGAGGCTGCCTTTTCATCCAGCACCCAAATTCACTAGACTATCACGCAGCTCAAAGCCACCCTTGCAAAGTCTCAGATATGGGTGACACCAGAAAAGAGGCAGCTTGTTAAGATCACACCGTTTTAATCCAAGTACCAAGGCAAAGCAGAGGGGAAAACAGTCTTCCCCTCTAGCTCTGGGGGTGAGAGGAACATGCGTTACCAGGAAGGACGAGTTGGCAGCTGTGACGGTTCCATAGGGCTTGACAAAAGCTGGCTTCAGCTTGGCCATCTGCTCGATGGAGGAAGGACGGATTCCATTATCTTTGGTTACTGTTTCCTTGCCTATTGATGGAAAAAAAAGAATGCATTTATACTTTTATTTATTTATACATGGAAAAAAAAGTTTTTATACTAAGAAAGTCAGCAACATACATGAATTTGCACATCGGAAGTCCAGAAAAGGAAAAAAAAAATCAGAAAACTCTGCTTTTTATGACAAGGCGGAGGATAAAAAGGGGAAAATCCATTAATGCTACCAGAATAATTCTAATGTGGTTAAAAATTAATACTTGGGAAAAAAAGGAAGTTGCATTATTTTCTCTTTAAAGACCAAACTATTAAGTGGTCAAGTTTACTTACACAGGGAAAAACTGATAAAACACGATTGACAAAAGAATTTAGATTATAAAAACTAAATGGAAGAACTGTTTCTGAATCCGTGCATGCTTGTGTCACAAATTCTGAGGAAGTCAGACCACCACAAGGAAACAAACGTATTCACCTCCAGTAATGCCGGCTTGCTTAAATTAGCCAGTTTAGAAAAAGTGTGAATTCTAACTTGAAGACTGACTACAGATCTACAAGTAAAGCCTCTTTAGGAAACCAAAGCTCTCCCTTTGGCAGACTGCAGGATGAGGGTGGAAATAAATCCCCTGAAGGGACAATTTAGAATTTGTCCCCAGGCTGTTCCACATGTGCTGGTGGACTGATGTCTTCCAAGCGAATCACATTTCAAGGGTTCCTAAAGAGCCCCTGACTTATCAAAAAGAGGCTTCATTGGGCTTAATATTTGCTGTTAATAGTTTGGGTTATAAAAACTGGTTCTCTTGTCAAATGGTTTGGATTTTCCTTGCGGTGTCATCACATTAGCAAGGAGTTTCCACTCAAAAATACTACAGAATTTAGCCATGCAAGAACAGTTTATCAACATGCTCTTCATTAGTACTTTTTCAGGGACTGCATAAAAAYGGGCTGTTAAAACCCATAACTTAGATGCACAGAAAGCTATGAATCTGAGCACAGTCCTTCCTCTCCTTTTTTAAATGAAATATTTCCTTAGGGAACACAAGATGGATATGGAACTTCTAGAGAGGGGCCAGAGGAACAAAGATGAGGAAGGGCCTGGAGCAGCTCTCGTGTGAGGAGAGCCCGAGCRAGCAGGGCCTGCTGAGCCTGGAGAAGAGGAGGGTGAGAGGGGAGCTGGTGAGYGTGTCCAAGGAGCCGAGGGGAGGATGGAGGGAGGAAGGTGCAAGCTCTGGTGGGTGGTGGCCAGGGGCAGGCCAAGGGGCAGTGGGTGCAGGTTGCAGCGCAGGCAGCTCCATGTGGCCGTGAGGAAGAACTTGTTTGGTGGGAGGGTGCCCGAGCCCTGGCCCAGGCTGCCCAGGGAGGCTGCGGAGGCTCCTGCTCTGCAGATCTGCCAGCGCGCCGGGATGCGCCCGGGTGCCCCGTGCTCTGGGTGTCCCTGCTGGAGCAGGGGCTGCGCTGGGGGGGTCCCTAGGGGTCCGCTCCAACCTCAGCCATCCTGGGATTCTGTGAACTCCCATGTTAGCTGTGAAGCATGTGCAGCTTTACCTGGCACTTTGAAGGCCACCACATCTTGCAACCAGCCTTCCTCCTGGGCTTTCTTGGCCAGCGTGTGTGAGCGGAGGGCGTACTCATCCTGCTCCAAACGGGAGACAGAAAAGGCAGCAGCCAGGCGATCAGCAGAGTGCCCCATGGTCTCGTTGGTGGAGAATTCTGTCACAAGGGGCAGCTACAGAAAGGAAAAGCCATGTCAGCATAGAGAAACAAGTGCCCCTGCAGCAGTTACGAAACACGACTGAAGTTCAGACTTGGATAAGCTCTAAATAATCAGTGGCGGCCTTAAATAGAGCACTGTTACAGTTAAGAGCTGCACAAATATCAGAGTCCATTTAAATAAACGAGGAGCTGCCACCGTCTAGTGATAACACAGGACTGGGAGGTGAGGCTGACACATGGAAGGCTCCGCTGCTATCCAGAGGGGCCTGGACAGGCGGGAGAGCTGGGCAGAGAAGAACCTCATGAAGGTCAACAAGGCAAGAGCAGGTCCTGCACCTGGGCAGGAATAACCCCTGCACAGGTTGGGGGTTGACCTGCTGGAGAGCAGCTCTGCTCCGGGGCATCCCGGTGGACAACACGGTGCCATGTCAGCAATGTGGTTTTGTGGTCACGAAGGTCAATGGTGTCCTGGGCCACGTTAGCAAGAGCACTGCCAGCTCCCCTTTCAAAATCCTCTCTAGCTCTCCAGCGAGTTTTACACCTGCTTATAAAATAGTCCAGCTCAAATATCTAAGAGAGTGAAAACAATTACATCAGGAGCAAAGTAGTCAGGGCGAATTTTGGACAGCAGAGCCAGCTTTTGGCCCAAAGTCTTGGCCTTGTTAAGTGTGAGCATAGTCTTCCTCATCTTCCTGTTGTGACGAATGGGAATATCGGACATCAGCTCCACACCACCGGCTACCACGGCATCGCACTGGCCGGCCGCGATCATGCCCACACCTACGGAACAAGACAGTTTCYCATGGGAACAGCAGGACAAGCAACGCTTATCACACCCCTATCAGCAGCTGGCCTTGGATGTTACTACATTTTATTTCCTTCTCCAGCCTTAGCCAAGTTATACGATAACAGACAGAGACAGAGAGTTCACTATGAGCTTCCTGAGTCACATTAGCTCTGTCACTTCCACTGCTCCGGCACACATGGCAGTTGGCAGAACATTCTCCTTAGTGATTCAGGATAGTAACTGAGTCACAGTATTTTTTTGCTCAATTTAGGCTGAATCAAATATGACAGCAGCCTTCCTGAAGGCAGTAACTGCTGTATCAAGCTCAATCAAGTCCTTACCTCTCAGCCTAACATGGATTCTGAGCAGAAACTACCGCTGAATACAAATGGTGTCAAGCTGCTGGCAGGCCTATAGCAGATACTCAATTTGTATTATATTTTATTGACTCAAGAACTTTTTCCTTCTACTCCAGAATTGTTTTTCAGATGCTTAGGTTTTCAAAACCACACAACTTGTTCTTCCTGTCAACATACCTGTAGTCATGGCCTGGTTTGAGGAAATGCAGGCCATGGTGACTGTGTGGGCTGGCGTTTTGTCAGAGAAACCAGCTCCCAAGGCAGCCTGTGAGCAAGAAACGAAGGCTGTCAAACATTGGCCTCCATGGRGCTAGAGCCGCCTTCACATTTGCAGACTCAGCTGGAAACGGGTGCATGAAGTTCCCACCCAAGCACCTACGGGATCAGCTATTCCCTCCCTCCCTCCCCAGCTCGAAGCAGGAAGAGGCAACTGCCCAGCTGCCCAGGCTCTCAGTGAGGTTATGGGAGCAACCCCCAGCCTCCCCACTCCAATAATAGAGCGATAAATTAATCAAACACCTCACAATTCCGAAAAAAAGGAGCTTACAAACATACAACATTACCCTTGCTTCCCCATATTTGCAAAGGTAGCACATGAAAAGAATTATTGAGACAGACTTCTGAGTAGGAGGCACCATGATGTGCTCTGGACACAAATCCCTCCCTGCGGTTCAAGTTCAAGCTTGCCAAAAAGCAGCTTGTCCTTTGACCCACTTGGAGAGCAGAGGCTCCCATCACAGGGAGCTGCCGGCACCAGGACCTTGCCTAGTTGGGACGTGGCCAACTAGTTTAAAGTTCAACAGTTGTCGGCAAGTTAAAATTAAACCACCAACCTCACCTGACGGGTACGTGACCAAAGCGAGTAGCAGCATATGCAACGTTAAAACTGCTAAATGGGGCTGCAGATGCTGGATGGTCTCGTCAGTGTTTCCAGCACCGTTATGTAACGCCCTTGGGCGGCTGCAAGCAGCATCAGGAGAGGCTCCACATTACAGGAAAAAAAAAAAATCACATGCCATCTCCGTAACATTTCTTTAGTGGACCAGGTTCTTTGTTTTGTATGAGATATGAACTGTGCGGGGGTTTTTTTGCCTGCCATAAAAAAGGTCATCCAAACAACTACTTTTCAAATCATTCAAAGGCTGTATCTGATCAGCCACTGATAAATAAATACCATAATAATGCAACGTATYGCAGCATGCTCTGATCTCATCAAGCACTTCTGGTGGGCCAGTGTTCGAGTCCACCTGGCAGTTAGAGCCGAGTGATCAACAATCATTAACAAAAGCTCTCCTTCCAGGAAACGACCAAGCAGAGGCTTTGCAGCATCAAAGTAAACTTTATCTATGGTAGATTTCAACAAGAGGCAGAGTCCCACACAGTTATTTTATGGGTAATATTGCACAGCTAGTCTATATTCCCAAATCACATTAAAATGAACCAAAAAAAAAATAGATTCTCGTTCATGTGGGTTATTATTTTGATGTAGGCTGCTGAAACCAGACTTCCAGGAGAAATGCTGTGATTCTGTGCTGCACATAACCTACCTCCCGGGCAACATTGCTCGTTTTCACTTCCTGGATAACGGTGCCGTAAACAATGTAATCCACAGCATCCCTTGGGATACTGGTCCGGTTCAGCAGCCCCCTGAGGAACAGAGAGAAGCCCACAGAATTGGCACCACGCAGGCAATAACTGTCCCACAGCCCTCAGATATTCASCTTCCAGCAGCTTGGCTGCAGAACAGGGCAAGAGCAGAGCTACACACTGTACCCCCTGCATATAGACTTGATGAGAGGTTAAACTGCCTATAGACTGGAAATGCTATCACTATATAAAGGACTATATAGAGTGTTTCACGAAAGCAGTTACTCTGCTTYCCCCACAGAAGAGGCTGATACTATCTTCCCTGATTTGGAACATTCTGACATCAAAATTAAGGCCATAAGCACTTAGGGGTAATAAAGCCAATTACTTTTAGTGTGGGAACATGCGAAGTGCTAATGAGCACTTCACATTAGAAAACACATCACACAATTTGCCAGAACGTCTTGGCAACTCGGCTAACACACAGCAAACCCCACTGCGGGCACTGATTAAGGCTAGTGAGATTCAAATGTAGTTTCATGCCTTGTAAAAATGTGTTTTAGTTTTATTTGCCCGTGGCAGACCCTGACTAACGAAGCACAAAACTGGTTTTGTTCAGCAACAAAACCAGACCGCTCAAGCTTTGCTGGAGCCACTGTACCAACAGCGGGAGCTCTGGAGTGCAGCAGAAGACAATTTGGGGGCTCTTTTAACACCCAGTTTACTTACTGCAGTGCTGCTCTGGCCAAGTCATGTGGCATAAGATCCGAATACCTGGAAGTTTAAGAAGAGAGGCAGAAAATTAAGTGTCAGAAACCAATGAAGGCGTCAGAGCCCACTGAGTGCACGTCAGCAGCACAGGCCTGCTGAAGACACCAGRAATGCTCTGAACTGTGCTTTTGTAAGCAAACATTTCACACCTGAGCTTATGAGCATTGTTATGCACAGAAGTAACTTGAAATCAACCGAGCAAACTGAACCCAGCAATTTTCAAAGATTCTACTATTGACCAATCTTAATTACCAATTTGCTCTTAACTAACCTTTATATATTTTTATTTTATACTTACGAGGTGCCAGACTGCAAAAATGGGATACGGACGCCATCGACCACAACAATATTCTTCACACCAGTTTTGGCTAAGGTCTTCTTACTCTTAGGCTGGACTGCTATRGAGAAGTTTAAGTAATTATTAATACAAATCTGAGCAAGCTTAAGGCAAGATCCTGTTAAAGCTACTAGAAAACTTGAGAAATAATCCCCTTTGGTGTAAAAGTGAAAAACAGAGTAGGTAGGGAACTGAGGGTGAAATCTTGTTCCTCGTTGAGCATGGCATGTGTGAAAAAATGAGTTAATGACACAGGATTTCAACTTCCATCATCAGCAGATTCACCTATACTAAGGCAAGGACAGCTGAGAATAAAGGTATCTAATTCTTAATCTCCAATATATAAAAATGCTGTAGGAAAAGACACCTCAAAAATGCTGAATGACTGAGGTTGTAAATGAGGCAGAACAAACTCAAAGCCCTGAGACCAGAAGGAGACCTCAAAGTCTGTCACTTGGAGAGCAGCAAGGACTGCAAACAGCACCTTCCACAGCAAATGCCCACTTAYATACTCTTATTGCACAGCAAAGATAAGTCACAGTAAATAAAACACAGTGCAAGGAGTCAACTTTCACTACTGCAGGAAAGCAATAGGGAATAAAAAGGTAAAGCTGCTGTGCGTAACTTGCTACTTCCTCCAAGTGCATGGGAGTATCTCAGGGTGGAGAAAAAGCAATGTTAGGAAACAGCATCATTTACCAGGTCCCTGTCAGAGCTATTCTGGAACAGCAATTAGCGAGGAGCTCAACGAGAATTTCCTAACGCAGCCAGCATTGCGGCTCTTAACAGTACACACAGCAGCACGAGGCAGCTGCCTTTGCAAGCCAGAGAAGGAAAAGGCCTGTAAAAGCAGAGGGAATCCAGCTAAACACTGCACTCCAGCAAGTGAAAGCATGAGCAGGAAACTGGAGCCCTACCCCACAGTTTATAAGAGGGCTCTCCAGGCACAGCTAAGGCAATAGGCTGCTCCCTAAGAACGATTTCCACTGCCCAGGTGGCTCAAAGCACCAGTCCCCTCACCAGAACGGGTCCCAGAGCCCCCACATTTCCCAAAGCAGTCACGTCTAACAGCCAAAGTACTGGTGTGTGCTGAGCTGCTCTGCTGAGACCTGAGCCTCTTAGGGGTCTTACTGGGCCTTAGAGCTAATTCCACAAACCTCTGCTTGGCAGGGCAGCCCCAGCGCTCCTGGGCAAGGGGCCTGGTTACAGCCAGATCACTATATCTTATAGTGATAGCAGGRGCATATCTTATATGTCTTATACATTATAATCCCCTATCTTGGCTCCTCTGCTCTCTGCTTCTCTGTGGCACAAGCCCCAGACCAGGTAGTTGTTGGGGATCAGGAGGACTCAAATGTTTAGAGGGCTCTTTGCCGGAAAAACTGGTTTCCCTCTAACTTGCAACTTTAGGAGGGCACTCTCAAAATAACAAAGTGTGCCTTGTGTTTCTGGGAATGCACGGAGGAGCCTCTGGAAAAGGGAAGCAGCTTCAGAAACAGTCTCTAGCACAAACCCCCAGGGGCTCCTGATGCTTTCACTTTACCTGCTGCTTGTAACTGCGAAGAGCAGCYGAATGATCTTGCAGCTGGAAAACAAGAACCAAAAAAAGTAGCATTTGTCAGGTCATAAATTATAAAAACACTTCTAGTTATTTTTGTAAGAAATGTAAAAAGTAATAATAATAATGTTCCAATACTACAAGGGCATCTAAATATCTACAAGCTTTTTTTTTTATATATATTGTATTCATAAAAAATCTATAGTAGATATTACCAGTTAACATGAGATTCCTCCCACATTGGAAGATATAGAGAACAACAAATATGCCAACGACAGAATTAGCTGTTAAAAACAGCAGACAAAAACATAACAGATTCAGACAAAAGTGTCCTTTGCAAACGCAATGCTTAAACAGACCTTTAAAGCCCATCAGTTCAAGCCTTTAATGACACTTACCGATCCCGGCAGCCCACGCCGAGGAGGCTGGGAGGTTCCTGAAGATACACGTCAGCATGGAAGTCATTTTGAGATCTAGAGAGGAGAAGACARGCTGCTGTTAGCCTGACGCGCAGCTTATTTAAAGGCTTATTTGGAACAATTTCAAGGTGAGCAGCTTGTCAGAGTCACACAAGTTGAAAGAAGAGCAAAGGAAGAGAAGGAGCAGCGCCGGGAACGACTTTCTGCTGCCCCTTTTGAGCAGCATCTAGCACGTGACGAGTCTGGCTTGTGAGCGTGGCCTGCAAACAACTCCTGTGAATAAAGAGCTCCTGACGAGGGGCAGCAGCCAGCACAGCTTTAGCTTCTCCTCCCCGCTGGAAAGTTGTCCCAGTGCCCAACCGGTCCCGCTGCCAGCGTGGCGCTCCTTGCACAACCTCACACGGCTGCCCCGAGCTTCCAGTGCCCATTGAGACCCCAGCAATTTTGCTGYGGATCCCCAGGGGAAGGGGGACAACTTGGCAACCGCCCCCCTCGCGTCCTCCTTCCCAGAGCTCAGCCCCATGGAAAGGACCACGCGGTTTCCCCTGGGGTAAAACGTCGTCCGTGGGTTTTCCAGCGCCGGGGAGCTGCTGGAAAAGCTGCTGGGCTCCACGCACAGCGGCGCGGCCAACCCTGCCCACCTGCGTGTGTGAGCACGAGCACAAACACGAAGGCAGCCGCGCAAGAGGCTGAGACGGAGGSGCGAAAACACAACCGGGCGCAAAGCGTAAACGTGGCTTAAGAAAATAAAGGCGCAAACGTAACCGGCGTGAAGGGAAACACTCCTGCAAAGTGCAAATGTACCGTGAAAACGTAAAAACACAAACATAAAAGTCAAAACACGGAAATATTAAAGGTATAAGCGTGTAAAGGTATAAAATATTAACGTACATATGTACCCTTAGATTACATATATATATAATAGTRTAAATATAGAGAGACGGACACGCTTCCTCTTTTCCTCCCCTCCTCTGCACACCGGTTACGCGCGCAGGTTTCTCCCCCCATCGCCTTCACCCTTGCCCGTCCCGGTCCGGGTCCCGGTTCCGGTCCGGTGCCGGTTTCGGTCCCGGTCCCGGTCCCGGTTCGAGTGCCGGGTCCGGTCCGGTCCGGTCCGGTCCGGTCCGGGTCCCGGTCCCGGTCCCGGTCCCGCCGCCCCCCGCGCACCTCAGACCCGAACCGAACCGAACCGCCCCAGCCCGTCGCCTCCGTGGCCGCCGCCGCTACTTGCGCTGCTGCCGCCCCTCAGGAAGGGCCCCGCCCCGCGCGGGCTGCTCGACGCCCGCCTGAGCAGGGCGGCCCCTCAGGCCGCGCCGCCGCCCGCCTTCCCACCGCTCCACCCGCCACTCCCGCTGTCTCCAAGCGTCAAAACAACCGAGACCCTCCCCGAGCAGCGGCGGCGAGCGGCTTGGGCGCGAGCGGCAGGCAGCGGCGGCCTCAGGCAGCGCGCGGGGCAGCCCCGCGGGCGCGGGCGGTTGCCGCCGCCGCGGAGGAGCGCTCGGTGGTGCGGCAAGATGGCGGCGGCGGTGCGCGCCATGGGCAGCCTGGGCCGCTTGGCCGCGGCCACCAAGCGCTGCCCGCCCCGCGGCGCGCGGCACCAGGGTGAGCCCCGCGCCGGGGGGGGCTCGCGGCTCCCCTTGGGGGTCACGCGTGTCCGTGTCACCTGGGGGGGGGGATTTGGGGAGGCGAGCGTGTCCACCCCCCCGCGTGGGGGGCTGGGAAGGGGTCCCCGTGGGAGCCCGCGTGGGGGGGGGGTCTCCGGAGTGTCCCCAGGTGTCTGCGTGTCCCCACGGGGGGGTCCCACGCGTGTCCGTGGGGTGGGTGTCCCCGTGTCCTCCCACGCGAGAGTGTTTGGGGGTGGGGGTCGCGCGGTGACCTCCAGGCGGGCGCTGTCCCCGTGTCCTTGCGCCCTGGGGTGTCCCCGTGTCCGTGTGTACAGGGATATCCTTGTGTCCGTGTGTATAAGGATATCCTTGTGTCCGTGTGTACAGGGATATCCTTATGTCCTTGTGCGTCCTCCAGGACCGGGCCGCTTCCCTGCACCATGTCCCGCGGGAAGGGCCGTTCCCGTGTCCCCGCGTGCCCCGATCCCAGCGCGGAGGGACGCGAGGCCGCCCTGCGCCCACCTTGGCTGCGCTTTTCCCTCCTTGTGCGGCCGCCCTTCCCGCTCTCCCTGCGTATCCCGGTCTCCCTGCGTATCCCGTGTGGCCGGGAAGGGCCCTGGACCGCGCTGGAATCGGGCAGGGTTTCCCGGAGCCCAAGGGCAGGGCCGTGGGGTGGAGGCCCGCGCGCCCTCCCTGCTCCTCGGCGCTTGCAGCTGCCGCCTTCTTCCTTGCAAACCCTTCCTGCCGGGATTCTGGCACTCGGTGGGATCAACAACCGCCCTCCCACGCGCCGAGYGTGGCCGGAATGCGCGTGGATCTGCCCAGGGCCCCAAGAAGGAGCTTGCACGTGTGTTTTTTTGCAAGAAYCCCTTTGTAAGGAATTGCAGAAGGCAGTGAGGAGCCCGGGCATCCCATGAGGTTAAAACTCATCCGTATGTGGAGTCCRACAGGTTCCCAGTTTGTCACTAGTGTCCCGGGTTACGGATAGAGGCTGGGAGTGTCAGCGGGAGCTGGGAGCCCTGGCTCTCGTGTTCCCAGCACGGCGGGAAGCCTCTTTTCCTGCTCTGRCTCTGGATGATGCTCCCTACTCGAGTGTCCACGGGAAGGGCAAGTGCAGGATGAGGAAACAGCCAAGGGAAAGAGAGCAAAGAGAGAAAATGGGAGGAAACCTGTTCCCACTGGACTGTGCTTTACAGTTCCCTGCTCGCTCTGGAGCGCTCTGCTAAATCCCCAGGACAATTCTCTGGAATATTTTCCTTTTTTTAAGCAGGCTTTCAGCTGCCCAAAAAGCAAAGAATGTGAATTAGTGAAAATTAAGTGTATTTTCAGGGCTATGAGCTCTGGAAGGAGCGTTAATGGCAGGGACGTACATCTGGCCTGCTGTTATTATTATCGCCCAATAATATGCTATTATCCCCTGAATTCGGAAAGGGATTTTTCTGGCTTTGATCATGGCAAGTTATCACTTCTTTTTCTGAAAATGGATCAAAGCCTAAGGGGGTTGTACTATGGCTGCAGCTGCTGTGTTTAGGGTCCAGGACTGGACCCTAAAGTAAAATATGATCAAGAATAGCACAAAATTATAATTAAAAAAAAAATTAAMTATCAAGCAATTGTCACTCTAGCAGCAGTGTGTTTCCCAAAAGAGCTTACATTAAAATGCAATGAGGTCTCTTCTTGAGCTCTTGATTATTTTTCTTTCCTGCTTTGTATCTGTTGTATTTAAACTTAGAAGCAAACTGGAACCCGAGGTGTAAATTATTCTTGGAAGCAGTGTCTTTGGAGCGTGGTTTCCAAGAGTAACGTGCACCACGTTCTGCTGCAGCTCCCACGTCCAAGGAGCAGCTCCTGGAGCCGGGCGCCGGCTCTCGCCTTCCCCGTCGGCACACGGAAAGTCTCCGGGAACGAATGTCCCCGGGAGGAATCGCTCTCCGGGCGCCCCTCCAGCAGGAATATTCTGCAGGAGCTTTGGAGTGGGAGCCACGTGGCGCTTGGTTTAGCAGAGGGTGTTGCRGGCGCGTGACCCCTGGCAGGAGCAGCCTGTGTGGCCTGAGCTGTGCTTTCCAGCCCCATCCCGACGGCGCTCCAGGAATGGAGGAACTCTGGGAATGGAGGAGCTCCAGGAATGGAGCACAAAGGTCACAGCCCCAAGCTGAGGTGGAAAGAGGATCAAAGTGCAAAGGAGCCCTGACCCGAGCTGCCTCGTGGGGCMCTGCGGGGGGAAAGGTGCCTGGGGGCCACGTGCACACCAGGATTTTGGGGTTGTTTCAGCTATTCTGCACTTCCTACCCTCTTGCTGCTGGGAACGGGATTGCTTTGGCTCCAAGCGTTTCCCCAACGCTTCGTAGCAGCAAACAGTTGTGCCCTCGTAGATAAACGTGCGGTATTTAGCTCAAGAAGTGGCACTTTAGACTTGAGCTTTGGCAGAGGTTCAGCCTCGATGGGCGCCGGGGGATCCTCTCAGTGAAGATCAAGGTCATTTGAGCRGAGCTGAGACTCGTTCGCGCAGCGAGAGATCATCAGGAACAAGCCCTTGGCAGGCAAGGGCAGACAGGGTACGTGTGGGAGGGGAGTAGCGCTTGGCTTTTCAGCACATACCTCCTCCTGGGTCTGGTTTTTTGGAGTGCTTCGAAACAAGCAGGTTTGTCTAGGCACTTGCCTGTGTAATTTGTAGATTGATCAGACGCTGAATTGGCAGACAAAATAAATATTTTGTGTGTTTCTGTGTGCCTTACCAGGTATGTGTCTTATGGTCTGTGAAGTAACGCTCAGAGGGGCAAAATTTACTGGCGTGAGAGTGTATTTTTTGCAGAATAATCCAGGTCATTTGTGTTTGGACAGTTTCAAGCCTGCACGGCAAGTTTTCTCCCTGATCAAAGGGCAGGAAGGTCTCTGGTTTCAAATATGATGAAGTGTTGACCTGTGCACACTTGATGTCAAAACAGCCCTGTAGGCCTTCTGCTTAATCTGCTGTCAGCCGTTTGGTAAAAAGCTTTTTATTTTTGCCCTCAGTTTGGCATTCCTGGTGCTGGAGAGTCCCCTTGTGGGGTCTGTGCTGGGAAGGACACTTAGTAGCATGGGATCCATTGAATTCTGGCATTGCAAGTCAAGGCACAGCGAAAGAACTGGCTGATATTCAGGATTTTCTGCAATACTGGCTCAGCAGACGGGGGAAGGTGGGAGAGTGTTTAATTATGGCCAGGTAAGCTGGGATCACCTCGAGAAGCCCCTGAGAAGGCCTGTAACATCTGCAACTTCTCTTCCTTAGGTTACGCTTGCCGCAGCTTCTCCAGCTCCAGTGCTCTTCAGGGTAAGCCCAAAGCTTTGGTGCGGGAATTTCCTCCTCTCCTTTCTAAAATCCACTGAACTGAAGCTGATAAAGTGGTTCTGTTTGTTTCCAGCCAGGACACATGTTAGCTGTGATATCAAAGGAGATGTTGCCGTTATACGTTTCAACGAACCAAATTCCAAGGTATGTTTTTGTTGGCTGGGATTAATAGGGACATGAGAAGAAACAGCAGGAATACAGGGGGTACAGAGAAGGCAAGGAAAATTGCTGATTTAAGATCACAAACTTTCCTAACCTGCTGCCTGTCAGATTGGAATAAAGCAGAAATTTAAGAATGAGCATTAAGACATATAATAAAAGAACATACTGGGAAGTGCCCAGTGGAAATATTTTTTATGTAGCCAATTAACCTGCCTCCCACCAGCACAATATGTCATTAAGTTCTGCATTAAAAATGATTTAAGGAGAGTGTCTGTCCTATACAACTTYGGAGCTCTTGGAACCTGTCTCTATTTACCCTGCGTATTTGCTGCCTTCAGGTGAACACTCTATCCAGGCAATTGCATGCAGAGTTTGCTGATATACTGAATGAATTCTGGGCTAATGAATCTATCAAAAGTGCCGTCCTCATCTCCTCGAAGCCAGGCACCTTTATTGCTGGAGCAGATCTCGGGTAAGTTTGGGTGGGGGTAGAAATTATGTTGATGCACTTCMGAGGAAGCTCCAGCATCCAGAGCAACAGGCCAGCTGGGAATTCGGAGCCTTTGTCGCCGACATCTCCGCAGGGGTGAGGTGAAGAATGAGTATGAAATCCATGTGCACAGGATGTGGGACGCAGCAGGGACTTGCTTAGATGGAGTGAGGGCCTTGGCAGAGAGGACTGTGGCTCTGTGTTAAACCCCGCTTGCCTCTAGCCCAGGGTCGCTCCTTGCTGCGTGCTGGAGCGCAGCCCAGGAAGGTTCATCCCCGGTGCGCCGGGAGCGCCGTGCCTCGCTCGGGGCACAGCAGGAGTGGGTAATTAGCATGCAGGGCTTCACCCAGGCTGGTTCTCAGCGCGTGGCCGGCCGCCAGCACAGCCCCTTGGCGGGGCAGCCCTGGCCCTCTGCCATGGAGAGCTCTGGGACCTGCAGGGCGATCATCCTGCGCTGGAAGGGACAGACCAGTGGTTTGAAGYCAGCAAACTCCGAGCAGAGGGGGCCTTGGTGACAGGATGCAGAGAAGACAGAGTTACTRAACGGCTTCTTTGCTTCTGCCTTTACTACTAARSCTGGTCCCCATGAACTAGAGAGTCCAGATAGAAGGAGAGAGGAAGACCTTCCTCCTCGACCAGCGGACTAGGTTAGGAATTGTTTAGGCAAGCTGGTCACCCATAGATCTATGCACCCAAGAGTGCTGAAGGAACTGGCAGGGTTATTGCTCAGCCGATCCCCATCATCTTTGAGAGGTCCTGGAGAGCCGGGGAGATGCCAGAGGACTGGAGAAAAGCAACGTTGCTCCAGCCTTCAAAAAGGGCAAGAGGGAGGAGACGGCAGCTACAGGCCGGTCAGCCTCACCTMCATCCCGGAAAGGTGATGGAGCAGTTCATCCTAGAGAGCATCTCCAGGCATACGAAGGAGAATCATAGAATCATAGAATGCCGAAGGTTGGAAGGGACCTCAGAGGTCATCGAGTCCAACCCCCCTGCTCACGCAGGGTCACCTAGAGCAC